CGAGAGAAAAGTCCGCGGATACGCGCCATCCATTGCGCTGCGTGGTCGAGTCGATAGCAGCAATTGGCTGTCATGTCCTTACACTGCGTGTCACAGTGCGGCGGGTGCATGGCTGGACCCATCGGTCTATTATCTCATACACCAACCTTCAGAGGACTAGAAGTAATTAATTCTTGAAATAGAATTGACATCTCCCCTGTGAATGAGTGGAGGTATCCATCCTCTCTAATGCTCAGCTAGAAGGTTGGTTATCGAAAGAATGTTTCAAAATGTTTAAGTTTGATTAAATGAGAAGAACAAGACAAATTAACAGTCGTTTAGTATAGGAGGGAAACTAGACAAACAGACGAAAACACGGAAATAGTTCTCTCTAGTACCACCCGTCAAAAACCTGTCATCGAGCAGTGAACGTGATATTGTGTCCACATTCGCACTCACAAACTTACCAGATGTCCGACTCTGGCTTGTGATAACGCGTGACTGTTGGCGTGGCAGTGTGTTGAGCAAATGCTAATTGTACCTTGGCTGCTCCATTCTGACATCAAAATGACAATTGATTAAAGGTTCTGTTCGTCCTCTGAAATCTCCTTGCGTTCTTGCCCAAATCCCGAGCTATCGTCTTCTCAGGCGTGAAAACGGAAAGGATTATTTCAAAAGTTAGTCGGATTGAGACTGTGGCTAGACTGGACAGTCACGACTTGTCAATGATAAAGTGAGGATTGAACTAATTCTTCGACAAGGTCAAATTTTTCACCACTGACCAACTTGTGAGGGTCATGAGTGCGCAGACAAGGATTATCGTACAAGGTGGCAGCGCCGTCACGGACCTGGAGCCCTGGACTGTACTGGCCACACTCAATAGTCAGCCCAGCAGGAGAGTCCTGTTAACCTAATTGGTAACTCATGACTTCAGGTCGGAATCAGGGCCAACGTCTAATAACGCGGGCAGCTTAGTCGCCGGTCTCGTGAACTCGCAGCCCATTTATTAGTTCCGAGACTTTGCTAATCTCTGCCACAAGAACCGCAGCAGTGCATCGGGTACAGCCGTCAGCGGCGGTGGCTGGTTTAGACTGCCTGAGAGTGGGACTGCTGAGGAATATAAATAGTATTATTATAATTGATATTTGTCTGCGAAACGTGCTCGTTTCGGGTCACGAAAAAACTCCAGTGCTGACATCATAACTGTTAAAAAAATCAAAATGTCTGATATAAAATAGGAGATCAAAGAAACTGAATGGAATTTGGAAAAACAGTTTACGGTCAAGACGTTTGACAGCAACATGCTATTAAGGAACATCTGTCTCTCGTCGAGTGTTCGGATTCTTCTTTGATGAAAACAGCTGACAGTGTGAACTTCTCATGAGAAAAAAGTTGTACATTCGTGCTAGCTTGTATTTAAATGATAGGGTTTCGAGCCTGAACACCGTGAGGGGAGAAGTTCTTCACTTACAAGGTGAACTTTGCGCGAAGATCAAGTAGTCATCCATTCCAAGTGAGTACAGTGAATAATATGCAATGATAATTCCTCATTTCTTTGTAAGCAATACGGTGGTGATTTAAAATAGGGGGAAGGGGCTGGGGGACAGCGACAGGCGGGTTTTTTCTTCTTTTGTTTGGAGG